AGAGAGAGAGAGAGAGAGTCGGATGATGACATCGAGTGCAAACAAGAAAGACAGGTAGCTTTTTAATTCAACTTACATAAAAGGAGTTTTCAACTTAGATCGAAAAAATACAACACGGTAGAGAGGCATAGAGAGTACGTGGGAGAGGGACAGTTAGATGGATGGATGCGGAGGAAAAGCTAAATTACTTTAATTGAAAGCATTTCATTATCATTTTTGAAAGAAAAACCAGAAAAATGGGATAAAAACAACATCAACTCAAGTACATCTGAGGGCTTTCATATTTCAGTTGGGAAAAAAGCTATTTAACTGCCTATATAAGGATACTCCTTAATTATACTATATAGTTTAATTATCTCCAATAACTATGACGCAATTACAATGATACAGTTCATTTGACAGCTGTTATTTTGAAAATGAAATGAGAGAAGGAGAGAGAGAGAGGGAGAGATTTGCATGAGTTCATCCTCCAATGTTCATTCCTTCTCACCCACCGTCTCATTTCATCCAAAAAAACAGATTTTTGGGATCATTTTTAATAAATTATTTTGTGAAACATTAAGATTGTATAGAGTATAAGATAATTACTTACTCAAATGAATACATGAATAAGACAACAGATACCGTAATTACCGTTCATCTTACTTGACTCCTTTCTCTTTCATTCATAGCTCGCTCTCTCTCTCTCCCTCTTACTACCATTTCACTTATCCTCATCTTGCAACGAATTCTGTAACATATGGTTATGCATACATCAAATTACTTTTTACATTTTTTTCAGATTTTCTTCTCACATTCTCACAGATGGCTGCCTTATTTCTAATTTTCATCCCAAAAACCTTTTCATTCACAATCTATGTTTATTAGCTCAATTTTAGCTTTTTACTTAATGCAAAACGTTCACTCTAATATTTAGCTTGAAGCTGAAAACAAATTTTCATTTGAAATTCTAGGCGTCATAGAGTCACGTGACTTCACGTATTCAACGCCGTGACGTGGTTTTCATTTTTTATATTGTAAACACGTATAGACCGGTTGATCTAAGCTCAGTGTGTTATTATGTATTATAAATATGTTCTGTATCATTTCGATAGTTGTAAACTATATGATATAATGATTTATTAGAATGAGATTGGAAGTTGGCGAAGAAAGATAAGCGTAGAAGTCATTGTTGCAGATCAGAAGGTGCGCAAGCTCAAAAGTGTTTAACGTGATCATTTGCCAGAGAATGCTCCAAACATGGCTCCTGTAAGTGCTCCGGTTAATACAGCGGTTAGTGGATGATACCGACGATAGTATGGATATGGATTGTTGTATCCATAGAAGGGTGGAGGATAAGCTGGAGGAATATAAGATGGACCTAAAGTATAAATAATATTGTTTGTTCAATGCAACAGTTAATGAATATATATAGTTAACTACCATAGATGGAATAATAACCAGGATAGAATTGGGCTGTACTCAATACGATACAGATGAGGAAGAAGCTAAGAATTGTACGCATCTCGCACGTCTGAAACAGTTACAACTTACTAAACATCACGATATCAAAAGAAAACGTAAAGAGTGATGATCATGCCGCAAGCTAGATGTAGTGAGCTTCAATGAGCATTTGCTTTTTTTTTTGAATAGAGATGGCTGTTTGAAATATTAAAATTCTACATGGCTAAGGCCATCCTCATTTGAGAGCAAAATGAGAAAAACAAACTGAGGCAATTCTAGAGGTTGTATGTCACTATAAATAGTCCTCAACGGCATTTAACAGAAACTTGTTTTTCAACTTGGATAGATCATATTCGACGAATTGTAGTCATTGTTAGAGGGTCAGCTATAGGATTATTGTGTGTTTGGTAAGAAGGTAAGAAGAAGAAGATGATCAAAAAACTTGTAAAAGAGGCTTACCATGTGTCATATGCTAATACGGTATGATAGCCACATAATCGTTTCTTCTCACTCATCCATAAAACATATTCGTTAAACACACTTTCATAAAATGGCCAAAAAAATGTCAAATTATTCTTTATTTTTCTGAAAATCAAAGTTGTAAAACGAGTAGAAGGGTTTGCTTGAAGAGTACCTTGAAAGGTATTCTCTCTCTCACTCTTTGTCTCCCGTTCGCTCTCTCGTTCCTTGTCGAGTATTTTTTAAGACTTTAAAGAATCAAAAACAATCTGTTGTCAACGAAAGAAAAAAGTTTTTCTTCTCAAAAAAAGTACCTACGGAATGATTATTTGCATAATACTTCCATAAAAAGAAAAATGAAAACACAAAGAACAAAGTTAAAGAGAGACTTAGTTCAGATAAGAGGGATTAGACTGAAACTGTCCAGTCAGTCCACGTGGTTACATTGAAGCTTTGAACAAAACCATTCTGGAGTGACAAAGACGAGCAGAGCGGTTGTGCTTAAACAGAAGATTGAAAACGAACTATTTGAGCTCAGAAAACTTCCCCCATTCATCGTTCTTAACTTAGACAAAGAGAGTTTGAGGTAAAAGTACAGAATAAGAAATGGCAATGTTCTCAATTCAATCTCCCTCTCAGTTCAATACGCTTCATATGCTTCATCATATTCCCGAGGAGACTCACTCTCTAAGCTCCGATATGAGAGGCCAAGCGAAAATTACTTGTATAACCTTATAAGAAAAGGATAAAGTAAATAAAGCTTTTGAAAGCAGAAGCTTGGAATGATTTGATAACAAGGCTTCTCATTGTAGATGTTTCTTCTTATTTATTTGGCTAGCTTTTTAGCTCGTTTGTCTCAGAATGTCCTAGATGCACCTAAGTCATTCACCTGTTAGAGGTAGAGCTGAAAACTCTCTCTATATGTAGCTCTCTCTCTCCATTAGCTCACTGAGGAAATTATAAAAAGAATTACCAAAGAGTATATGAAATAGTGTATAAAATAAAGATATAAAGGCCTGACCTCAGCTCACCTATCCTTTTGGCTTCTCCCCAAATATTTGTTCGACCGAAAATGGTCGTCGGCTGTCCACTATCTATGCCATATCTTATGTGGTAGAAAAGCTCGCCTAAGCTTAATTTGGTCAGCTTCTGCTTGTCACAATCATAAACTATTCATCATTTTCAACCTTTCATATCATATATATCTATTTATCATATAAAACTCTATTATAAAAATATAAATAAAAATGAAAAAGCAAAGTTTGAGTTTCATTGGATTGCCATATCCACTCAACGCCATGCTCTGCACCGTAGTCAATCAATGAATGTTTTTAATGAACGTTTCAGCTCTTACTCTTACAGTCCACAGTCAATCAATAGGAACACAGATTATGAAGTAAGTTACATTTTCTTATTTATATTTTGTATTTTGTATCATATATACTATATCACTCTCTTAATCAATAGATGACCAGCGTGGTCAAATGATACATTCAAAAGGTTTTTTTGGTTTTTATTTATTCAAACTTCAATCAACTCCACTTCTCAATTGTCACATTCAATATATATTTTTCTATCAAATCATCTTTTTTGTTAAACAAAATGGATGTTTTAAACTGTTTCTTTGATGAAATGTGCTTGCTCATCGTCTTCTTCATCTTCTTCTTCTGCTTCTTCTTCTTCTTCTTCTTCTTTGCCTTCTACTTCGTCTTCATCAGCTTAGAGCTGCAAAAGGGAAAATTGGCCGAAGATGTCGTCTCTTCTAATCATCCTCATTATCCTACTTGTTCACGTTGTTTTTCAACTTGTTCATATTATAATTTGATAATCGAAGACG